TTTAATGTGTCTGAGCAAGGTTATCCAAATTTGGCAGTCATGGGGCAAGATCCTCATTTTGAGACTTACCTGTATGCTACTGTGTAGGAAAAGTTGATCAATACACTGTTGATCTCCCTCTGCATGGAGATACTCTGTTCTCTTCTGCCACCCAGCTCGAACACAGTTGGATTTCCATTCTTTCTTTCATTTGCCCTCTTTCCTTCCTCTATGATTTGGATGAAGTGGTGAACAGCTTTGATCTGACTGTTCATAGGAGAAGAGACTAGATGACTTGAAGGAAGGAGATTTGAGGCAGGCCTGTAAAATCACGAGTAATGTGGACAGGGTAAATAGGGAGTCGCCTGTGTTCACTCATTTCCAGCACAAGAAGCAGGGGACTTCAAGTGAAACTAGCAGGTGTCACAAGTGAAAGAAAATGGCTCCAGACACCATGGGTCTGTGGGTCTGTGGAACTTCTTGCTGAAGATGCTGCAGGCACAGACATTTAATTTGAATTCAAAAAGGGACCAGGCAGGCTGATGGAAGAAAAACTGATTGAGGATTGTCATGTGCAAAGATGAGACAACTGCCTCGGGAATCCTGAAGTGAGGCATTGCAGGAAGCCAAGAGAGTATTCTGAGGGGGAGGGGGGGAAATTTGAGGAAATATGTCTAGGCATTTACTACACAAACAGCAATTCCCCTGTTTTTCTGCAGACAAGGGTTGAAGATTGGCTGTTCATTTTGTACCATAACCTTAGTCTGCCGGCTGCAGCTTAGCCAAGACTGTATTAGGAAGTATTTCACTCAGATGAATTTGATGTTTTTCAAGTGACTCTTGGTGTCTATTGACCTTGTCTGCATTAAGCCAGCACAGTGGGATACTGCTCAGATACAAACCTTCCCTGCTCTATACCACAGACAGGAGACAGAAGAGACAGAGTACATTGTGGCTTTTCAGTTCCTCCAAAACTGGTCATGTAAGGCAAAGCTTCCCTTCTCTTCAGCTGCACCCTATTTATTTTCTTACGTTACAGGCTGTGTTGTTGTTTCCTTGGAATCTATTCATTCCTTGCTTACCTGAAAGCTTTTGAGTTTCAGAACAATGTTAGTCTTTAATGCAACATCTGTTTAAAAAAAAACCCAAACATTTTTCTTTATACTAATGAAGTTGCTGGTTTAAGAGAAGTCATTAACGACCTTCAGGAATTGTGTTATTTGTGGTAAAATGTTTACGACTTTGGACAGGTGCTGTCTTTTGTTAGGAGATGACCATCTTGCTGACAGGTTTCTCATCTGCATAGCTTTCAGGGCCACAGCCAAGAAAGTCAGGCAGAAATGCCTTGGGGATTACCTGTCCCCTTCTGCTGGGACTGTAAGCCACAGGAGATGGCATTCTTTGTCTCCACACTTTCAGTGAGGCTTCAGTATCTTTGAGCCCAAGGCAGCTGAGGGAACCCCTCTGAGCACTTGCAGTAGTAGTCCTTAGTTTTACATTCTCAGCGAAAGAAAAGGTGAGGGCACTAAATGCTCTTTTGCTGAAAATGCGTGTGTTTTGGAATTTTTCACGTGGTGCACCTTCACTTGGTCACGTGTTCAACAACAGGTGACTGTACAACTTTCTTTTCTGGACTTGGACAGAGACAGCCAAAATGTACCATTTGGGCCCCATCATCATTTTTATTTCTACGTGCTCTGTCACATTCCCTACCAGATAAGGTTTGAGAGAGATGTCAGCAGTGGACACGTAATCTGGTTGGAGTCCTCTTAGCAACTGCCCTAGCCCTACACTCCAAAGCGTGGAGTTAAAGTTATTCTATTGTTTTGTCATGAACATGGGTTTTAAGATCTTGACTGGCCTTCACCCTCCAAATCAAGACCCAGTTTCTCCGAAGAACTTCAGTCAGATCCTCATAATGAGCAAGCCATTTGAACCTGCTGCTATTTGTCAGCTGCTTTTATTTCTATGTGAAAAGGCGGAGTGAGCTCCAGATCTGTATGACCATTTCCCAGCCTTTTACGTAGAAAGGGACATTTCCTAGAATGTATTAAAAGCTTTTGCCAAAGCAAAAGCTCATTTTCTTTTGCAAAGTTCATACTGCGTCAGCCACATGTTGCATGGCGTGGCATGCTCATGTCTTTTAAGACAAACACATCTGTTATATACTCAGTGTTGGAGAGGAAAAGAGATACCAGGTATGGCTTTACCCCCTTACTCATGTCTGTGCAGCATGCAGGTGGAGAGGGGCCTGGGGTGTGCCACTACAGGTAACTGCTCTTGTAAAAATATTCCAACAAACAGTACTGAGGAAGAGTACCAGCGGGATAAATGGATACAGGCATCTTGAAGAAAACCAGTTGCTAGAGAACAGCTGTGAGTTTTCAGTATTACCACATCTCTGGTGATGGCTACCAGCCCCACAGCACATGCTGGTAGAAGAAATAGGACCGATGCTCTCTGAAACAACTTCGATGCAGTATCCCAGGCCAGCTGAAACCACGACCGCTACTTTTGGCCGTTTCAGATAAGGACACAGAAAAGAGGTTCCTCATTGATAGGAGTGTGTGTGAGCTGTGAGTGCCTAGTGACAAGTAGTGAGGGGAAGCAGTGGCATCAGCTGCCACAGCTACAGATTGTCACTGTCTGTCTGTGTGTCTGTGCCTTTAAGACTCGTGTCAGGAAGCTGAGCTTATCATAGCTTTTAAAGGCATTTATTTCATCGGTTTCTTCAGCATTTGAGAAATATTAAAATAAGGAGGAAAAGATAGCTTTTCGCAAAACCGTATCTAACTGGACCAGTGCTCTAAGGCTTATTAGAGCAAAAGCAGTACTTTGATGTAGAGTTGGCTGTTTGAGAATGTTGATGGAATTTAGAACCAAAGTCTGAATTTGAAAACAACAGAATTGCTAACGTGAGAAAAGGGAGATAGAGAAAGATTTTCAATACAGATCTTCGTTTTGTTTCCACTTAGAAGATACCTGCGTTATGTGGTGCTGTAATACATGTTTGAGTTGTATTTTACAGACAAATATAAAATAGACTTCTTGCCTTCAAAGTTTTATAATCACAGTTAGATGAAACGCATACCAAAAAAAAAAAATGTTAGCAGAATAAAATGAGCTTTACTGTTGTGATGTTAATAATACATGTATTTCATTTGTACAGCTTCGCGAGTGGTTTGTCTGTGGATTTGTCGGGTTATCATTTGCTTACTCCAATAGGAACAAATTCTTAAATAATATTTTAAAATAGTCTATTAAAAAAGCTGACAAGAGCAGAACTGCTATGGCATACAGAATTAAGTAGAACTTCTCCTGTTAAAAATTATTTTTTTTACTCTGTTTTCCTGTAGCTGCATAGTGTCTTTTGTAATTAGAAGTTCAGTTTTGACAGTCTAAGTGGTACGAAATGTAGGGTCTTTTGCATTTAATTTCCTGTAAGAAAGTAATCGTTAATTCAATATTTCCGTATTGCTGTTCAGATATGACGCTTCCATGTTTGCAGGTAGATGGAGGGTCAACACGTGAGGAAGGAAGGAATTGCAAAGATAACAAATGTAACTATGTTTGTTTCACTTCCAGTACAACCTCAATGCCAGAGAGCTACAGCTTCAATAAATAACATTTATTCTGACATCTGGCATAGCTTTTACCAGTAATTATCAGGCACTCTTTAATTTTCCTTTTCCATCACAACCTCATGGTGCAATTACCGAGTTGTGTTGGCAAGTGAAGGCATAATTAATAAGATAGAAGACAAAAGAAAAGACGGGGGGCTAGGAATAAAGTAGGGAAGGAAGCTGACACATGACGGAAGGGCACGACAGCAGGAACCCAGGGCTTACATCCCGGATACTCAACTGGTATTGAGCCGATTCCAGCAGGATGGGTTTAAGTCACTTGGTCTCTTTGCTGTCCCAGTTTCCGTGTGCCGAAAGGGACCCCAGCTATGCTGTATGAAGGCATGATGAGAAAGCTTGTTCTTTCCCAGCCAGTCCTCCTGTTCTCATTTATTGATCTGTCAGGTAAACAGCGCTTAAAAGGAGGTGACCATCTCACACCATCAGAATTAAGCCATTAATTTACTTTTTGGTGGCTTCAACTGTGAACATTTATTCCTGTTTCTAAAACGTTTGTCTTGTGTCTGTGTCTGACTTCAGCAGAAGTTCTGAAGAACCCTGTATCGCTGCTTTTTTAACTGAAACAGCGCCATTTTCATATTACAGTCTCTTGCTTCGACTTATTTTTTGTGTTTATAAATAATTTATATACAAGTAGAGTAGAGAGTCTTTACAATACACACTAGAAAGAAAAGTTCTCCTTTAGGAAAAGAAGTAAAGAAATAATACACCTTGCAAAGATGAGTGATTTAACATACAGGAGGTATTCGGTGTTGGTGAGAACCAAAGTTTTCATCTATTACATTTGACAATGTTACCTATGTGAATCATCCAATAAGACATTTGTGCTCCAAATACTATAAAATGCAGTTTCACCTCCAAAGGGTTATAAGCTAAGCAGTTGTGATAGTCAAACGTGCACAGAAATTGTCCATTTTATCTCAAAGTTTGATTTCCTTTGCTTGTGTGACTCGGCCAACAAAACCATTGCTGTAATTGGAGCTCAGCTAGAGGTCTTGCATTTTTCCGATGTTCTGGTTGTAGCCAGTCGGACTTGTAAGCTATTTGTGTTTAATCCTTTCTCAGACACCCAAACTGTGAATCGAGTCTTTGCTTGAGTTAGTAACATCCAGGCATACATGTGTGCAGTATGGAATTTGAACATCACAATGGTGCCTGTTTCCTGGAAAAAATAATGAGATCAGTCAAAACGATACAGCTAGGAGATTATAATGCTGAGTTTCCCTGCTGTCCTGTGACAATTCTTTTTCTGTCCAACATCTCTCCTCGATTTACTGACATCCTGAGAAACAGAATCTTACTTAAGCTGCTGTACAGGGAGCACCAAGAGTTTTTACTGTGGACCCTGGATTTTTAAGCTTGCTCCACCACGGTGTACTACAGACTTTGTTTTTCAGGTAGCTTCCCATTGGAAGATTTTGCAAGTACCATCATTTGTGTTTCTCCCACGTCACGTGAGCTTTCTTCGTGATGTGACCTGACAGCGCTTGAAATTGATACACTCACTTGTCGTCGCAGTATTTTCATTACAGTTCTCTTGTATCCTTTGCACGCAAAGAAATAGATAAAAGGATCTAGGCAGCAGTTAAAATTCATCAGAAACACAGTATAATGGAGTGACTTCTGGAAAATTTTCTTTTCAGTGCACAAGGGTTCATTCTGAAGCTTCTTAATCATGTGTTGTATGATTGCAACATGATAAGGGGTGAAGCAGATGATGAACACTATAATTACAAATATGATTGTATTGATGGCTTTTTTGTTTATCCCTGATTTTTCAGTCAGTGGATTTTCCTTGGCCGTTTGAAAAAGTTTGCAGCTAATTTGAGAGTAACAAAATAGTATAATCCCCAGGGGAATAAGGTACCCTACTAAACAAGCAGCGAGAAGTATAAATGGTAGGTGTGCAATTTTTTCAAAGTTTGGATATTCCATACACGTAGTCCTTTCTGTTTCTTCCTGTGACATGGGTTGTATAAGTAATGGGAAAGTTTGACTAAACACAAGAAACCAGATAAAGACACAAATACCCTTGGCATATTTAATCCTTCTGATCTTGTATCGGAAGGGGTGGACAACAGCAAAAAACCTGTCAATGCTCAAACATGTCATGAAGTTTACGCCTGCATAGGTGTTGATGTAGAACAGGAGAGCGGTTATTCGACATAATGCTTCTCCAAATGGCCAGTGAAATCCTAGGGCATAGTAGGCTATCCTTGTAGGCAAGGCGATGCAGAACAGGAGGTCGGAGAAGACGAGGTTTGTTGAATAGAGGGTAGTGGAGTTCATCTTCTTTCTGTTTTTAAAAATGACGGTGAGGGCAATGGCATTTCCGAGCACCCCAAGAATTAAGATGGAGCTGTAGAAGACAGACAGCAGTACCCGTGCCGTATCTTTGTGCTCATATAAGTCGCAGGTGGAACTGTTTGTCTGAGAAACTGTGAAAGTGTCCATTCCTGTAACCGCTGCTGTAGCAGGAAGCTCAGTAGACCTAACATGGGGGGAAAAAAAAGAAACAAAACACAAAAGGGAACATTTTGTAATAAATGTAGATAAACTTCTTCTGCATAACAATGGCCAACCTCTGTTGCAAAAAGCAAGATTGTAAAAAACTGAAATGAAACTTCATTATGGTGAAATACTTTTCAAGCCTTCTTCCGAAAACAAACAAACAAAAAGATGGCTCTTTTTGGCTTTTCTGTTTTGATCACAATTCCTTCTCTCCTGAAAAAAATCAGATGGGGCAAAATAATAAACCAGGGGTGTAATGTATTTGGAAAGTGAAGTTTATGGACAGTCAGGAGGTGGGAGACTGTTTAGAGCAATCTGAGGGGAAAAAGGAGTCTGAAGAAACCACGTGATAAAGGATCATGTGAAGTTCCCAAGGGTCAGACAAGCAGACAAAATCTTTTAAATGTGTTTCAGTTAATTTTTAGGGAGTGTTTGTTTTTAACAATTCACATTGTAATGATTTAACTTGTTTAGAGAAACTAAATTTTTTCAGCATTCTTATCATCTTGTCATTATAATAATTCAGGTTAATTATTAATACTTAATACTAGTTTTAAGAATCGGCTTTTGGAATCTGGTTCAAATATTGTTACATACATGAATTCTTAAGACTAGTGCTGCGAAAGAGAGATAACCCAGCTGAAATATTTCATACATTGTCAGTTTAGTGGATTTTAGAAATTGTTTAACCTGCACAGTCAGAAGTAGCATGGAAAAGCTGCAAAGTGGCAGTGATTCGGGGGACTTAAAAATATAAAAAATGATCCAGCAGAATTTCAGAAACGGAAAGGACCTGTTGATACTGCTTCCAGTGCAAAATATTTCTTAGTTGTGTTACTACCTGACAGTTGCATAGTGTAAGCATAAATGTCAGAAAGGATGGGGCATCTAACATTACTCCTCGAGCAGCTGTTCTGCAAAATTTATGGATTAAAACAGCAATCAAAACAAGATTGCTTCTGCTTTAATGCCAAATACTATCTGGAGATAAAAGCTGTTGTAACCCGAGTTTTAAGTCCATCTGATACTGTTAATTAAAATGTCTAGGTTATTTCTGAGGATCTGCCTTTCAACACACAATATTTACAAACAACTGTAGCCTGTTGCACCTTAGAAAAGTCTCTCTGGAAAATACCTCTCAGCTTTAAGGGTTTTAAGCTATGCGTTTTAGAAAGTATTCATTATCCTTTTATTAACTTGTAAATGTATTTAAAGATTAGTATCTTCTTTCATGTTTTGAGGAAGTTGTCCTACTTATTTCAGGTTGTTCACAATTAGTGTACCTGCAACACATAGTGTGTTGTAAGCCAGTCTGACCAGATTTCTGGCTAGGTTAGCAGGGGTGCATAAGGCTCTCTGTGAACACTAAACCTGTGGATAGTGGATGATGTGTATTAAAATACAGAAATGAGTTATATTACATATATTTAAGGAAGAAATTTAGCATCAAGATAGTGTATTAAGTCTATGTTTGCTGTGTTGCACAGGCAGTAGGAAAGACAGATGAGTGATTTCTGACTGATAGATGTACAATGTTCTGATCCTTAGAGACCCGTGGAGTACGTACCATGTGTCAGGAGGTGGGAATGCTGCATTCAGGGTCGGAAGTCACATCTGAGGTGGGAGTTTTGTGGTTTGAGTAAGGGAATTAAACTGGTAAATAGCAACTCCAGCTGTAGTGCAGATTTAAGAATGTCTGTAATTTTATATTAGTTAATTCTGCATCGTTCACAGTATCTTGGTGTTAGTGTGTTTGATGATTGATTGGTACGGTAGTTACTACCCTGAGGATAGTTCTGTAATACTTTCCTCCTGTTTCATCTTTTCCCTTATAGAAGCGTGTAGGATGACTCTTGTTTTACCTAAGTGTAACAGACTGCTTTTTGCAGAAAATGATGTGGGCTTGTGTAGGCACCTGAATAGGAGTCAGTGAGGTATTTTGGTTTGTTTCTCTTATTTAAATGCTTCTGATTACTTGTTCACACTCCCAGCATAACATCTATCTTCTACTCCTCTCTTCCTTGAAATTTAGGTAAAATAATTTGTTAAACATATGTGAGGAATAATAATCAAAGATTCCTGATAAACAGTAGTTCTATTGCAGTAACTAGCTACGGCATATTAACTCCATAATTTTATTTTCGCTGTGAAGTTGTAATAGTTTTGGTTCGTAAATAATGTGCATAATTGTCATGTCCATTCATATGGCATTCTATAAATATTTGTAAAATGTAGAACATCTGTTAGACAAATATGTTTAAAAATGGTTTGGGAAAAATTCCACAATTTCAGTGAATTTTTTTTTTTTTACATCAAGAGTAGAATTTCATAAAATGCCTGTTACCTACTTTTGTTCTATGAAGTCAAATCTTTAATGTAGTAAATTAATCTAGAACTTACTGTTGCTCAAAATAGGATGTTCACCCTGGCATAAAACCATGGCTATATTGAGAAGGAGTCCTAGCTGAGAAGGAGTTTGTGTCCATCCATGGTGCCAGCATGGATATACGTGGGGAGCAGTTCCATGGCAGGACAAACTGGCCACAAACAGATGAGAAGAAAGCTGAGGGACCACATCTCATGGGCCTTGCAGGGCAGCGTGCATGTCAGCTAAGCTCTGCTCCTTGACAGAGGACATCAGCAGGCTCTTCTGCGTCAGCCCTGGGTGGGGAAAGTCGTCTTTTTGATCCTCGGTTATCCCCAAAATATTTTGACTCTTAATGTGAGGAGCACATTTTATAGTACTCTAGATGAGCATTAGTATTTTCTCTGTATGTAGGTATGTATGGGCATTTTGGAGCAGTCACCATGGTGTCCACGTGCTATATTACCTCAATGTATTTCCTTTTTAAAAAAAAAAACCTTAGATAGCGTATCTGGTTTGGAGCCCAAACAGGGGATAAAGTTGTCTGACAACTTAATGTGCCTCACCTGAGCTCTGGTAACTTCTTTGTACGTCCAAGCTCTTATTGTTGCTGGATGAACTCCATTCACCTCAGCAGATAGTTCACCTTGTCAATCTCGAACAGGGCTGCATTTAAAAATATACTTGCTTCCTAAAAGCTGTCTAGACTGTTAAGTAAGAGAAGATTTTTTTTCTTTTAAATCCTATTCCTTATGTCAGGTTGCTGTTTATTTCTTGGCAGCAATCCTTAGTGAACAGCTTATTATACATACAGCATATGACATCCTCCACAGAATGTATCTGAAAAAACAGCAGCAGGCCCATTTTGCATACTTTCTGTGTGTTTTGCATTGATTTTTACTGGTTTTAATGAGCTGTGTACCTGAATACCTTATGGAAACGTGGCCATTTACTGTCCCAAATTCAGACACACCGTTGAAGCTACCCTCTAGAATCACTACCAAAATGTTTGCTTTTCCAGGTTGTTGCATTAAATGCCCCTCCTCAGCGGCTTTCTGAGTTTATTAAATGATACTATTCTGAAGTATATACTTGGAAAAAAGGTAACATTAATTTACCTTACGAATGTAATAGTTTTAGAAAACACTACCACAATTTTTTGGCATAGAGGTGTATGCAGAATTTTAAGGCATAACATATTTAAAATTCCTGTCTTTATGTCGGTATTGTAAAGAAAGTTGTTCAGGTTTTTATGTTTTCTGAGTCTACAGACACACGATACTTAGCGACACAGACCACTTACTTATTTAATGTGACCTCCTCTGTAATCCAAGTTACGTTATTATTTTAGTTATTTGTGCATGGATTACGCTAACTTTTCATTTAAAGCATAATTTCTAAAATGCTGTTTGGTCTTGATTTGGAGAACTGAAGAGAAAGCAAATTGGCCATTTGTACTGTAGTTTTTGGTCAGTCAACCTCCTGTTAAAAAAATGTGGGTGTCTTATTTAAATTTCCCTAAAATTAATTTGCAATTGCTGTTTTTGTTGAGCCTTTCCCCTTCATACAGTCTCATGGTTTTGGCAATGCAAGGTGAAAGTCTCCAATGTCTCACCACGAGGCCAAGTAGTCCTGTGACATCTGTTCTGACCTCGGCTTAGTCCCACCCAGGGGCTGGCCTTCCAGATGCCTCTTGGTATCAGTGTACCTGGAAGCATACTCACTACTCCATCCCTGCTTTTTCTGCTCAGCTGATGAAGTGTCCGAGATAGACTTGTGTAGCATTGCACTGGGAGCTTGTGAAGTTAGTTCACGGTGATCCCGGAGTACTTCTCAGATTCACCGTGTCCTGGCATGTGTCCAGTCTAGGGCCATGGGTATTGCTCTCTGCTTCTCCCTGGGAGGACCTTACGCCTGGGAGAGTTTACAATTAATTTTAATACTATGCCCAGGCTTGCCGCCACCACTGCAGGTTGTTCTTTGTTGTTCACTCACTTGCTTTTTTCAAGTCTTAGCATTGTATTTGCTTTCACCACCAATGGAAGAAAGTTTTTCTTTAGCCAATTTATGAATGTTGTTAGCTAGGCAGCTTTTAGTCTATTCTTGGTGTTTGGCAGCAACAGTATCCACTCGGGGGAAAAAATCACAGTACCACGTCAAGCTGCTTCCAAAACCTAGCATGTCTGAAATCTTTGCAGATGACTTTCTAAGCCAATTTTGTAATCTCATCAAAGAAGGAAAATCAGTTGGTTTAGGAGACTGGTTTTCTGTGGAAACATTTCACTGGCATTCTTCATTTGATTTATGTTTATGCTGCAGTATGCAAGAGCTCAGCTCAGAGTAGAGTCCCTGCTGCAGAGAGTGTTTGATGAACAGAATGGTGGCTCCAGTCTGGGAGAACTACATAATCCAAAACCCTGTTCATAGAGATGTTCATGTGTGATGAGCTTTGTATGTAGGTGTCATATTATGAGGAGTTGCTTAAGGAGCTGGGGTTGTTTAACCTGGAGAAGAGGAGGCTGAGGGGAGACCTGATCACTCTCTACAACGACCTGAAAGGAGGGTGTAGCCAGGTGGGGGTCTGTCTCTTCTCCCAAGTTACGAGGGATAGGACAAGATGAAATGGCTTCAAGTTGCACCAGGGGAGGTTTAGATTGGATATTGGGAAAAATTTCTTCGCCGAAAGGGTTGTCAAGCCCTGGAACAGGCTGCCCAGGGAAGTGGTGGAGTCCCCATCCCTGGAGGTATTTACAAGGTGTGTGGACATGGTTCTTAGGGACACGGTTTAGTGGTGGGCTTGGCTGTGTTAGGTTTATGGTTGGACTCGATGATCTTAAAGGTCCTTTCCAACCTAAATGATTGTGTGATTCTATGTAATGTTACATGCGTTTAACTATTAACAAGCATAGACTTAAGCTATGAGCCAGCAATTGCAGTGTTGTAACCTTAGATTACACGGGTTTGGATTATGTGTAAGCAGTGATACAAAGCTCTCTCTGTATGCTAAATGAGTTTTCTTGCTGTTCTCCTCTCCTGCTTTTACTGAAGGAGCACCATCTGTCTTTGCAGCAGACCAGGGAACATGTAGAAGGCTTTAACTGTGTATTGTCATTTAATGTGTGATTTGTCTGTTTCTCTTCATAATTTTCATTCTTTGGAGATGAATGCCTGGTCCATCTGTCCAGTAGCTAATTTAAGAGGGATACTAATTAAATTATTGGAAAGGCACGTCAGATCATTAAAAAGATCTCTCCTGACTCTATGCATAGAATGGTTTAGTCACTTTGTGTTGGACAGTATTTCTTTAACAAACAGTATTAGGGAATAATGTAGTTTTATGTACACATAAAGAGTAAAAATGATTTAAAAGGAATGGTCAGGAAAG